CCCACAGAACTATTGCTCCAGCCCCTCTAGAGGAACTCTTAACTGTAGAACCTTGAGACAACCTTTCCTCTCATCAGATATTTAATTTTGAAGAAAATGGATGCATACCCTGGCACCTGGAGAAAGAGTTCAGTGGCTCGGAACACCTGCCTAACAAGTGTCAAATCGCCAATTCAGTCCCCTGGACCAAGTGTAATCCCACAGACAAGCAGAGCTGCATTTGGTCCCGGACTGTGAGGGTTTCGGACCGCTCTAGTGAGGTGAGTCGAGGCACCACAACAAAGAGGTGCAGCCCGTATCACCACCACAAGCACCACAACTCAGACACATGGAAGCCCCCCAGAGCTGGCAAGAGCAACGCCTCAAGAATGCCTGTGAGCCCTACCCTGGGTGACTCAGCAGAGTGTGTGACCACCAAAGCTAGGTCGCCTGCAGCCACCACTGCAGTGGAGCACAGCATGCAGCCCCCAACTAAAATGCTGCGAATACAAATAGGACGAGTATTTACAAATATCTTGCATTTACAAACATGACAAGTAACTCATCTCACATTATTTACAACATGTATCCACTGGACAAGTTCCCAGAAGTTGAAATGTTGGGTTAATTTTTATGAATACTGTCACATCTATAGAAATGGTACGTTTACCCTCACCAGCAAGGTCTGAAGGGTTTTGCATGTTTCTGAATTTATAGAACTAACAACAAACTGTACTCTTTTTTTCCTTTTTTTTTTTTTTTTTTTGGCTTTTGTGGCCACACTTGGTGGTGTACAGGGCTTATTCCCGGCTCTCCATTCAGGAATTACTCCTGGCAAGGCTCACTGGACCATGTGGGGTACTGGGAAATCAAACCTGGGTTGGCAGTATATAAGGCAAGGGCCCTACCTGTTGTACAATCACTCAGGCCCCCTACACATAATTTTCTACAACACTTGTTTGGGGGTTGGTTGGGGTGAAGGATTTGGTTTGTTTAAGGGCCACACCCAGTGATGCTAAGGGGTTTCGCTTGGCTCTGCACTCAGGAATCACTGAGGGGACTATACGGGATGCCAGGAATTGGTCAGGGGGTGTGCAAGGCAAGCACCCTACTTACTGTATTATTGCTCTGGCCCCGGATGACTGTTCACTTTGAAATGAATCACAGATCTTAAACATTTCTGTTAAAACGTCTGTCTATGAACTTGAGCTATGTATAGGCATATCTACTTATCAGTAACCATGGATGGTTCCTAAGGATTTATGGTTGTTTAAAAAGTTAGTTGTTGGGCCTGGGGCGATAGCACGGCGGGGAGGGTGTTTGCCTTGCACATAGCAGGCTCGGGTTTGATTCCAGCATCCCATATGGTCCCCTGAGCACCGCCAGGGGTAATTCCTGAGTGCAGAGCCAGGAGTAACCCCTGTGCATCGCCAGGTGTGACCCAAAAAGAAAAAAAAAAGTCATAAAAGAAGTGCTGGAGTGATATTACAGGAAGTAGGTATTAGCCTTGACTGCAGCTGACTTGGGTTCAATCCCTAGCATCCCATATGGTCTCCTGAGCACTGCCAGGAGAACACAGGGGTTGCTCCCAGCAGTGCTGGGAATTGAGCCAGAGTAGCCGCGTGCAAAGTTCATGACGCAGCCATTCAAGTTACCACCTCACCACACCGCCCCATCCTGTGTATAACTTGTTTTTTTAAAAGTTCAGTCATACCAAATCGCCACTGAAACATGTCTAATCCTAATATTTATATGAATTAAAATTAAGGCAAGTATAAGTTACCGACTTTAAAAGTAGTTTTGCCTGTTCAAGAATCCATGTTCCTCTTTTTATTATTTATTTTTGGGTCTTGGGTCACACCCAGCAATGCTCCAGGATTACTCCTGGCTCTGTGCTCAGGATTCCCTCCTGACAGTGCTCAGGGTACATAGAGATTGCTAGGGACTGAACCCAGGTTGGCTGGGTGCAAGGCAGCACCCTACCTTCTGCATTATTGCTTCAGCACCCCAAACACACACACCCAATGTTCCTCTTTCTCTCCTACCAGTTCATATCTACCCTACTCTGTGTAGACCTCTACCCATCTACCCTGTCCTTCCCCTCCCATGCTATCCAAGTACTTCATAGGAAGATACCCTTAACATACACATCTACGGAAGGGCCATACTCCATCTACAAAAGGGCACTACTCCTCCCAGAGTAATGCCATGGTCCTTAGTAGTGTCTACTTCAGAGCACATGGTACTCCTGACCAGAGGGCCCTGACGAGCCAATGAGGGTCATGAGCAGAACACCTGGCTTCCTTGCTCTGGAGAGCCAGGAAGATGCTGCTTACCAGTATGAGCTGGACTTTCTACTTCTTGTGGCCAAAAGTTTTCCGAACATTCAAAAACTTCAAAAATACGCTGGTAAGGGGGTCAGAAGAATAGGACAGAGGGTAGGGCACTTGCTTTGCACATAGTTGACCCAAGCTTGATCGATGTCCAGCATCCGAGATGGCCCCTCAAACCCCACCAGGAGTGATCCCTGAGCACTGAGCCAGAGTAAGCCCTGAGCACTGCTAGACCTGGTGCCCCAACCAAAAAAATTAAAAATAAAAACCAAAACACTGGAGTGGGACCGAGAGGACAGTTCCAAGAAACAGAGCACACGTTTTGATGAGGGAGTCCCAGGTTCACCGAGGACCTAGAGGTCGAGTCTCTAAGCACTATCAGATATATCCCTACCCCCAAAAACACATCAAATGATGTGTTTATGAGCAAATGTAACTAGAGCCAGGGAACAACCAGCTAATTAGCTGCTCTGCCATTGGAGAGGCATGGAAAGTGTGATATTCCGAGAATGGCAGGTGTGGGGTGAAGGATCAGGAACAGGAGTCACTGGAGAAATTCCTATGGCAGACACATGAAAGAGCAAACCCAGAAAAGGCATTTCCTCTTGCTTTCCAGCTGCTCTGCCAAAAGCCAGTTAGTAAATAAAATGATGAAACCTGACTCAGCTAGGGCCTATATTAGGAGAATGATGAGTTTCCTAATCCAGGCAGAACTCCGGGAGGGGTGAGAGCACCGAAACTGTCGAATCACTTACTGGGGACACAAATGAGCATTTCTTACAAATATCTGTAAACTAATGCCAGTCGGTAATTGCTGCTACCAAGAGCCAGCAGAGCCAAGACCAACCAACTTTCGGATACAGAAAACATCTTTCCGGCCTAACTGTTGTTGTTACTCTACTCTGGCATTAGGTTCCTTCTTTCTCACTGTGTCGGCCTTGCTGCTTTTCATAAGACTTAAGCTTCCCTGTGTACTACACAGCAATTTTCCACTTTTATGACTCAGAAAGGGCAAGAAAACAGAAAGGGTAGTCCTCTTCCATGCCTAGATAAAATTTTTAAAATATTTCTTTAACTCTAGAAAAGCAAAGACAGACTTTCACAAACTTTTTTCCTTTCACGTCAATATTTACCGGGGGCTTGTGGTCTGAGCAACAGTACAGTGGGTAAGACATGTGCCTTGTAGAGACCAACTGGGGTTCAATCCCCCACATTCCATATGGTCTCCCAAGCCTGCCAGGAATGAGCTAAGTGCAGAGACAGGAGTAAGCCCTGGGTATTGCCGGGTGTGGCCCAAAACAAAACAAACAAAAAAAAAATCCAGTCAATATTTACCAAAAGCTAGTATATCCAAGTCATAGTCTGAAATTTACCCAAAGCTAAGGCATGAGTTATTATCACTTCTCTACTTCCGCTCTCTCCAACCCCCTAACAACAGCCAAATATTTTAAAGAAAAACATTTACGCCTTAAAATAAAATTTTAAAAAAAGTCTACAATAGAGGCTGGAGCGATAATACACAGGCTGATGTAAAAGTCCACAGCCAATGTGGGCTAATCTGGGTCCGATCCCCAGCATTCCATAAGGTTTCCCGTACACCATCAGGAGTAATTACTGAGTGCAGAGCCAGGTATGGTCCCAAAACAAACAAAAAAAAGTCTGCAATAAAACTTCTTTGACATTTGTTAACTGGTGGATCAGAGGCTGTTATTTCCGGGGTGCTGAAATACAAGGGTAAGATTACAAGATTTCCAATTTTTTTTATTCAAAGTAAAGGTGCGCTTAATTGCGTATGAAAATGTAAACGCCCAGTGCAAAGAGCCGGAGAGCAACTGTTATTAATTAATAAACAAGTCAATACTATCTGGAGGCAACATCAGTGCCGGCTTTGACACACAGAAACACACACAGACACACACACAGAGACACGGAAGGCTGGGCATCAGCATCCACACCATAAACCACACGTCGCAAAAAAAAAAGTGGGGGTGGGGGAAGGGGTGGAAAGGACCAACGGTTTCTATGCATCACTGTTCCGGAAAAAGAATTATCGATCCTTTCCAAGGAGATGGCTTTTAATTTTCATCTCGTAAGCACGTCCCCGAGCCACCTCTTGCGGCGGCGGGGGTGGTGGGGGGCAGGTACTTCGCGCTTGCCAACCAGGCGGGGCAGGTGAGCGGGGCCGCCCGCTCGGGCAGGACGGAAACACGGACAATGCCGAGAAGTGGCCGGGAAGCGATGGGCTGGGCGCGAGCTCGGGGAAGCAGGACGCGGCCGGCGGCGAGGAGCAGGAGCAGGAGCAGGAGCAGGAGCAGGAGCAGGAGGAGCAGGAGGAGGAAGAGGAGGAAGAGGAGGTGGAGGAGAAGGAGGAGGAGGGCAGGGGGGACGCCCCGGGCATCCCCGCCGCGCGCACCGACCAGCCCCTCGGGCGGCTGCGGCGCCGTCGCCATGACGACGGGGGCCCGCCCCACCCCCCACCCGGCCGGGGGGCGCCGCAGCCCCGCGGGCTCCATTGCCGCGGGAGGCAGGACCCGGGCTGCCGAGCCCCGGGAGACGAGGAACGCGCCAGGGGCGAGAGGGACGAGGAGGAGGAGGAGGAGGAGGAGGAAGAGGAGGAGGGAGAGGAGGAGGATGAAGAGGTGCGAGAGGCGGAAGCCGCCCGCGCCGGGGCGGGGGAGGGCCGCTCACCCTTGACTTTGCCGAACGTGCCGACCCCCAGCGTGTCGCCCAGGATGTAGTGGCCGATCTTCACCCGCCCGTCGTGTTTCTGCTTCTCGGCTGCCGCCATCTTCCTCCAGGAACTGAGTCTGCGCATGGCGCGGCGGGAGGGGGGCGGAGGGGGCGGGCAGGGCCGCGCCGGGGGCGGGCGGCGGGCGGGGAGGGGCGTGGGGACGGCGAGGGGAGCCGCGCGGAGGCCGCCGCCCTGCTCCGCCCGTCGGGGCCCGGCCCGCGCCGTCGGGCGCACTCGCTCCCCCTGGCGGGCCGGGCGGGGGTGCCGCCTCCCCGCCCACCTGCGCGCGGGCGGGCCCCCCCTTGGCGCCGCTCCGCTGCCCCCGCCGAGGCGGCGCCCCGATTACGCCTTCTGGGGAGCGGGGCCAGCCTGGGGATTCCCGGGGCGAGGCGGGCACGCGGGCAGCCCGCGGGGGCTGCGGCGCGTGTTGCGGGGCCGGTTGCTAGGGGCTGGGGGACCTCGCCCTCGCCGCGTGGGTCCAGCCGGTTCTGGTTTCTCGGCCCAGATGCAGATCTGGAAACCGCAGGGGGATGTCGCCGGCCCGGTTGCCCCGTTGCCGGAGCGTCGCTGCCCAGTGCTCACCCGCCGCGCGCCTTCCTTTGGCTGACTTGGAGCTAGGAAGTTGCTGGCGGACACCTCGCCAGCCCGGGTGCTGTTCGTCGCTCTTTCCCGCTGGACACGAGCCTGAAATCCCTTCTCTCCTCCCCACCACCTCCCCTTCCAGCAAACCCCGTTGCGAAGGAGCCTGTTGGGGGTAGAGACGAATATGCATGCGTGTCGGGGGATTGGGTGGTCGCCCAGACATTTTGATGTAGAGGAATTAATATTCTTAGACGCATGCTTCGACTCAATTGCAAACAGGATTTAGAGTCGTGTCAGACAAGCATGTGCTGTGCTGGAGTGCAATTACCATGAGTAAGATCTCATCTATTATTTACATGGGATCGTGTCAGATCAGAAGGAAAGTCGGCTTATTGGTAACGTAGCTGAATGTTTAAGTGACTTTCTTACTCAGTTACATTCGGCTAACATCAAGTGTCAGGGTGAAAAACAAAACAGCTCAGGTCTCGATTTTGCAGTGTCATAGCGTTTGGGCCAGTGTCAATGAAATAAAAAACGGAAAAACTGGCATTTTAACCTTTTTCTTTCCCAATAAGAGTTACCCAACCCTTCTTGGTTTTTTTAAATATACTTTCTATTTGTTGAAATCAAAGTAACATGCATTAGCACTGCTGGGAAAGCAAAAGCCTTTGAGTTTAGAATTACATCCAAAAAACGAAGACCATTGCAACTAGCTCTGTCTGGACAGCTCATCTGTTTGAACTGTACTGAATGTGTATCCCATTGCTCCTCCGGAATAGTCTAACGGTTCAGAAAGCTATTATTGAGACATTTGTGCCCCGGCCTTGGTTATGGAGATACTGGGATTTTTACTCTCTTGGTCTCTTCCCTTTCTGGTGAGTATGGGCAGCTCTGGCTTTTGGAATCTCTACAGAACAGAAACGGCTCTATAGATTTTCATAGGGGGAAAAAGTGTTTTAAGTTTCGCACCCAGAAATAGCATCGTTAAAATTGCATCGTGGGGGCGGAGAGATAGTACAGCGGGTAAGGAGCTTTATTCCATGTGGTAGACCTGAATTTGAGCCCCGGTACCCCATATGGTCTCTCCAGCACTGCAAGGAATCACTCCTGAGCACAGAGACAGGAATAGCCCCCCCCCCCCAGCACTGCTGGGTGTGGCCCAAATAAAACGGCATCATGTCTAGAATCTTTCTAACAAGATTTTATTCCTTTCAGCCTAAAAGAAAAATAATCAATTACCTTAGTTCTGGAGGGGATCAGTTTAGTTAAACCCATTTGCTTATCTCTTCATGAAACTGGAAACCCAACAAAAGAAGTAATATAATCATTATTTTAGCAGAAACATTGCTTCTGCTTTGGTATTATTTTAGATTATAATTCTAATTAGCATATGTTCATTTATGGCACTACTCACTAAAAAAGCAATGTGGGGAAATAAAAGTCTACAATCACAAGTTGAATAGGAATTTAGAGGTCATTTTCTTCCCTCTCCATGGTTTCTATTTTGAACAGTTTTAATTGCTTTTTTTATTTTTTAAAGTGAATTAAGAAGCCTGAGAGGTAGTTCAAGGGTTAAGGTGCTTCTCTTATATCCTGTCAACCTGAGTTCAAACCTGACACCACATATGGTCTCCTGAGCATGCCAGGGATCATTCGTGAGCCAGGAATAGCCCCAAAACATTGCTGGCTGTGACTCAAACAAATAATAATAAGCAATACGACAGTGTTATTAAAAATGAGTTAAAAACAATCCAATGAACTGTTTTTCAGAAAGTAAACACTAAACCTCCTTTCTTTCTTTCCCTTTTTTGTCAGGTGAGTCATGGGCCATATCTAGCAGTGCTCAGGGGCCACTCCAAACTCTGTGCTCAGGGATCACTCCTAGGGTGCTCAAGGGGTCCCTAAGTGATGGTAAGGATTTGACCAGGGTTGGGCATGTTCAAAGGAAGCTCCTTAACTTCTGTAGTTTCTCTCCAGCCCCTCTTTCCTTCATTCTTTTCCTTACAAATATTCACATTTTCTTTAACTTTCATTCCATTTTCATTCTTGGCTCCAGCCCCAAACCTTCACTCCCTTCTTTCTTCAAGCACTTGATTAGTGCTAGACACTAAGAATAGACAGAAAATTGAAAGTCATGAGTCCTACCTTCATGGCTCTTGTAATCGAGAATGGCAGATCCCAGTATCTGTGTACCCCACCGCAGGCTAGATAATATTCAGTGCCCAACATTCTCCAGAGTAGAAGCAAAGATAAGGTAGACTGGCTTACACCCTGATTCTAGACTCATCAGTTTTACAACTCACTGTAAAGTATACTGAAAAGGACCAGGGAGATAGCTCAAAGGTCTGAGCATATGCTTTCCGTGCAGGAGCCCCAGGTTCCATAGATAGCACCACATGGTCCCCTGAGCATTGAGCTTGGAGAAGTCCTGTCACTGCTACATGTAGCCCCCAAACAAGAACAACAACAAAGGTATGAAAAAAAACAAACAAACACTGTCCTCCCATTGTTCATCGATTTGCTAGAGCGGGCCCAGTAACATCTCCATTTTGAGACTTGTTGTTACTGTGTATGGCATATTGAATACGTCACGGGTAGCTTGCCAGGCTTTGCTGTGTGGGTGACATACTCTCGGTAGCTTGCCGGGCTCTCTGAGAGGGGCAGAGGAATCGAACCCGACTCGGCCAGGCTGTCTGCGCACAAGGCAAACGCCCTACCACTGTGCTATCGCTCCAGCCCAACAAAGGTACGTTGTAATATAAATGATTAATGTGACATTATAGAAATAGCCTTATATGCACACTAGGCTGTGGTGGTATGAAGAAATGGAATAAATTGTTTGCAAACTTCAGTTCTTTGACTTTTTGGTTTTTGTTAGGGGCTATACCTGGTGGTGCTCAGGAGCTAGTCTTGGCTCAACATGTGCTTGGGAGTCACACCCAATGGTGCTCCAGGGACTGTGCGGTGCTGAATGTCCAACCCTGGGTCTCCAGCATGATAAACATGCATGTTCGCCCTTTGTGCTGTCTCCCTAGCCCAAATCTTTGGTTCTTTGTACAGATAAGTTAGATTACTTCTCATCACTGATGAAGACATACCAAGATGACTCACTATTGTGCTGCAGAACGGAACAACTCATCTCACGGAGGAATTCACTAGTTCATTGTCAGGAACTTCCTCTTTAATTCTTTAGAGATTTTAAGGGTGTTTTAAGACCATCACAGTGTGAGAATGTCCACATTCAGATGGACATTACACTTCATTTCTATCTCTAAATACAGTAAGGTGACCCCAGAGAGACAGCACAGTGGATCAGGTGCTTGTCTTGCATGCAACCAACCCAACCTGATCTCAGACATCATGTATAATCCTCTGAGCACCACAAGAGGTCACGCCTGAGCAAAGAGCCAGAGAGATTCCTTGCACTGCAGGGGATGGCCTACCCCCAAATCAAGTAAATACATACTGTAAGGTAGCCACTGTAGCACTGTCCTCCTGTTCATCGAACTGCTCGAGCGAGCACCAGTAACGCCTCCATTGTGAGACTTATTGTTACTGTTTTTGGCATATCAAATATGCCACAGGGAGCTTGTCAGGCTCTGCTGTAAAGGCTGGACACTCTGAGTAGCTTGCTGGCTTCTCCGAGAGGGATGGAGGAGTCGAACCAAGTAAATGACTTAAGTCAAAAATAGGTTTCTGTTTTACTGTGGATCAGATAACTTGGTTACAAGGCTTTGGTTTGATAAAACAAAGTTACTCCACCTGACTTTAAGAAACTCCTCAATTACACTTATTTAGAGGAATTTGAGTCTGGTTATCCTGAGCTCATTTTCAGGATATGCAATATCAAACTTGCTCTTTTCAAATATGTGTTTGATAGGGTTAGATACTTCAGAGATATGGACTTGCCTTGAACACTATCACCCTGGGTTAGACCTTCGGCATAGATTATGGTTCCTCAGCTCCACCTGAGTAAGGTAGCCAGGACCAAAAATTCTAAGTACTACATACCATTAGTGCAATTTGATATTTCCTTAACTAATATTGAAGCTAACATTTTAAAGACATATTTTAAAAGACAGCACAACACTGAGACTGTTGTTTGAGATTGTGATTCCAAATGATACAGTTGTCTCCAGCATGGCAAAATAGTCTGACAGATACTAAAAAATAAGTATGTGATCTCCAACATACTCATGGAGAGTAGAGCATAACCTTGATCTGTCCATAGCAGCAATGCTGAGTATGGTCCCAAAACAAAACAATTCTGATGCTTCCTGTTTGGACAATTAATTAAATTGGTGTAGTTTATGGAACTGAGGGGCCAAAGAGATAGTACAGCGGGTAAGATACTTGCCTGGCATGCAGCTGACTAGGGTTTGATTCCTGGCACCACATCTGGTCTCCTGAGCCCTGCCAGAAATGCTCCCTGAGCACCAAGCCAGATGCTCCCGAGCATTACTTGGGTGTGGCCCCACCCAAAAACCAAACAAAAATTATGG